TGTGATCTGGGGTGCGGGGAGCGGGGTGCCCGTGTGGCCGCACCCTGTGAAATCGCAGTGGTCGGTGGTTCCCACTGGCCGAGAGCTGCCCCCGCTGCCGGCCCTGCTCGCCGGCCCCGCGCAGGTGGGTACGAGGGCCAGAGTTCTTTACGGGGCTTGGGAGATCCCCCCGGTGAATAATTCCACTTTCGTGGGGAAGTGACAACCATCCTGAGCTGAGAAGGGAGTTAAAGCTGCCTGAGCATTGCACACACGCCCGCTGAAGTCGTCTGAGGGTGAGCCCTAGCTAGTTCATCGAGGGAGGTCCTCCTGCCCCTCTGCTCTGCCCTGGTGAGGCCACATCTGGAATCTTGTGTCCAGTTCTGGGCCCCTCAGCTTAAGAGAGACAGGGAACTGCTGGAGAGAGTCCAGCGCAGCCACAGAGATGCTGAAGGGAGTGGAACATCTCCCTGATGAGGAAAGGCTGAAGGAGCTGGGTCTCTTTAGCTTGGAGAAGAGGAGGCTGAGGGGTGACCTCAAAAATGTTTATAAATATGTCAAGGGTGAGCATCAGGAGGATGGTGCCAGGATCTTTTCAACGACATCCAATGACAGGACATGGGGCAATGGGTTCAAGCTGGAACACAGGAGATTCCACAAAAATATTAGGAACAACTTTTTCCCTGTGAGGGTGACAGAGCCCTGGCACAGGCTGCCCAGGGAGGTTGTGGAGGCTCCTTCTCTGGAGACATTCAGACCCGCCTGGACGTGTTCCTGTGTGACCTACTGTAGGTGATCCTGCTCTGGCAGGGGGGCTGGACTAGATTTCTAGAAGTCCCTTCTATCCCCTGACATTCTGTGATTCTGTCATTCTGTGTGACCCAGTGACAACGGGGCAGGTACCAGCGTTGGCCAAGAGGCACTAACACCCCTGTGCTCTTAGGATACCACCCCTGATGAGCTGCTGTCTGCCGTGATGACTGCTGTCCTTCAGGATGTCAACCTGCGTCCTGAGGCCCTGGGAGACATCTGTGTGGGTGAGCAAACAGCTGCTGTCCCAATTTGAACCTCCCGGCCGGGCTGTCTCCCTGGGACAGGCAGCTCCTGGTGTCCCGTGGGGTACCAGCAAGTATTGTGGGGTTGGATGGGGTGAGCGCGTAGCATCAGGTTTATGAAATCGAGCATTTGTGACTGTTCTGTGGAGCGATGAGACTCTGCTCCAGGTGCCGGCTGGTACCGAGCCCTCGTGGTGGTCACGTCCCTTCGAGGCCTGTGGCAAACAGCGAGAGAAATGCAACCGGTTGACTGGAATCGTATCTTTGCACTCAGGAAACGTGCTGCAGCCTGGAGCTGGTGCTTTGATTGCAAGAGTTGCACAGTTTCTAAGGTAAACTCTCAACCAGATCAAGGTTCTTCCTCTCCTTCCTGGGCCGTGGCCATGGGGCAGCACTAGGTCAGAGGTTGCGATGCCGCTCGTGCACTCCCGGGAAGTCACGGCAGATCTCCTTTTGCCTAGAAATTAGACTTTGAGCGAGCATTTGAAGAACCATGATGGCAAAGGGGCAGGGAGGCGGAAGCGATGGGGCCGTTTAATCTGTTTGTGCTGCCCGTGTTGAGCCTCAGAAGCGGCAGATTTTGTTTTCCAGGCTCCCAGCTGCACCAGCTGCTTCTTCGTGCTGCCAAGCTGTGTTGCGTGGGGTCCCAAATCCATGAGTTATGAATATTGCAGAACTTTTCAATATTTTTGGCCTTGCTCAGAGCTCAGGAACTAGGCACATGAGAGGGCCTTGCTTACAGAGGCCCTTCTGAAGATGGACCTGCAGGGAAGCAGCACAGAGCCGCTTGCAAACCCAGTATGGAAACTATCTGTGAACTTTGGTTCCTCTTGGTGCAGGACCAAAGTAGGTCAACAAATGTATCAAGGAATCTGTCTTGAACTTGAGGGTTAAAGTTTAATCAAGTGATTTAGCGGTGTCTTCAGAAGCTTGGTTTGTTGCGTGGTTTTGTCGCTGAGTCTTTGCCGATTCTGTTTTTATTTTCTAGTGGCATTCCAGAAACAGTGCCGTGCTCAAGTGTGAACCGGCAGTGCTCCTCCGGGCTGCAGGCCATTATCAATATAGCTGGTGAGTGGTCTGCACACTTGGATGGGAGTCGATGCCTGCCCCGCCCCAAGCACTCCTTTCTCTTGTCCTCCAGTCTCTCTCAGCAGTAAAAATAGTGATAATGCCTTCTGCTTTTAGTTTAATGCTTTTATGCCCTGGAGTGACTGAGTTTACCCCTAGAGAAGGAACGTAGGTTTCTGAGGATGAGTTCTGCCATCCCTTCCACATCAGGCAGCTTCTGGAAGGGTCCCTCCTTGTCCTCTCTGGTTGCACGTCAGGTCATGGCTCGTCCTCAGCCCCATCAGCTCCTTGACCTGGCTCACATTCTGGCCGGCAGGAGGGCAGAGGGAACGCCCCGTTTGGCTGTGGTGGGTCCTCGGGTGGTTGTGAAGCGGCAGCTGAAAGGGACGTGCTTTTGCTCATAATGCCAATAAGAGTGTTCATGTGCTGCTCTTACAGGTGGCATCCAAAATGGGTCCTATGACATCGGCTTGGCCTGCGGGTAAGAAAGTCTTTTTGTGGTACTTGGTTACATTTCCTGTCCCTCAGCGATAGCTCCTGTGTGAGGAGTTAGAAACCCTTTCCGGGCAGATCTGCTGAACAATCCCTCCCGCCCAAGAAAATAGGTGCAGTCCTTATTTGACAAAATGAGTGAATAAATGCTAAAATTAGGACCTGGGTTTAAGTGGTGACTGCAGATTCAGTTTGTGTGTTTCCAGAGGCTGCTGAGTGCTTTGGCAGAAGATGGGGTCGTCGTAAAGGGCCTGAGGGTGCTTGAAAAGCCTTTAGTTGTCCTGGATGTTTTGGTCTCAGTGACACATCTGCTGGGGTCGCAATAAGAGGCCGTGCAAAAAGATGGTTTTATTGGGGTTCTCCAGCCCTTCTGTGGGACGCAAGCTCTGCCAGTCTGAAGGAGCCTGCTGTAATTGCCTTTTTAACTAACCTCTGATTAATTAGTATCGTAGAAGACTGGCAGCTATTGTGGATATAGAAATTAACGTTGTACCCGTGCTAATAAGTGTCCTGCAGACTTGCAGGAGATGTTCTTTCTGCGATGGATAGGCATGCTGTTCTTTGTTCCAGTCTTAACATCACAGGAAGTGTTTGTTTTTTAGAGGGTTATGTAGCCTTTGGAGAAACACTAGTGACCATGCACTCAAATACTTCAGAAGAATGAATTAAAAAAAAAGAAGAAAAAGAAATAAGTAATCTGAGGCTAAAATACTGAGTTTCTCTTTTTCTTTACCTTGTTAACTCTAGTCTTTCTTGGATTATTACTGTGCGCAATCATTGTCCTTAGAGAAATGTACACATTTACAGCTTCTCAACACCTGCACGTCCTTGGTTGAGCAAGGTGTGATGTTGAGAACGTCCGTCCCTTCTTAGACGGCTGCAAAATCAACGGCTCAGCATGACAGGCGTGTTCCCCCTGTGTGGGCAGAGCGCTTGCTGTTCACAGGGACTGCTTGTGCTTAAACCACCTTGATGCTTTTCACTCATTCACTTCAAAACGCTCCCAAGAGGTTGCTTGGCTCAAAGGATTTGGGATCCAGCCTTCGCACCTCTGGGGATGCAAACTGCTGTGTTCCATTGCGCGAGGATTTCTGGCCTCTACCCAGCAGGGTCCTCCATGAAGGCACAAAATCCGTAGGTTACCGATAGCTTTGGGCTTATCCCAGGCCGTGCTCTTCCACTGAGTGGACTCACCTGCTCTGTAGATGCAGAGATACTGGCTGACAACACAAAATGCAGTAGCTCTGGTTTGCACCTCCTTAAAACCTGATTTGTACCTTCCTTCAGGGATCAGGTGCAGCTTAACTCAAGTCATGCAGTGTCCCATACTGTAGTTTAAATTCCTGACAGCCCTTACCATGAGCTGCTTGGGGCAAAAATCTTATTTTCCCCTTGTCTAGTGTTTTCTAGGAATATTTTCTTTGTTATTTGCTCTTCCTGAGTGTATTTGTGTGATGCAGAGTAGAATTCAAACCCTCTTCCCTTCTTAGGCTTCAGGGTCTAGACTGACTTAACAAAATCTCACTAGTCCTAAGTGATGGATGCATGTTCCTGCACTAAATTCGTGTGTCTTTGATGTGTGAACTCATTTGTAGGTACAAGACTGCAGCCTTGGGGATCTATGGCTTAAAATTCTTTGTGTTGCAGAACGCAAATGGCTTAACTTCCTGAAGTCTCTTTCTTGGGGTTGCTTAATACTTATTATGCTGCCAACCAGTTCTTAAGCTCTAAGAGGCTTTTTATGGCCATTGAGGATCTCGTTGGAAACTCCAGTCCTGGAATGTTGGGTTTCTCATTATGGTTGCAGACAAAAGTGCCAGTAGCGTTCGCAGTTCTTCTCTAGCTGAGGAAACATGAGATTTAACTGTTGGACATTTGTATCCTGTTCTTGGTGACCAAGGACCAGTTTAATCTACCGGTCTGTTTTCATTTCATAATAATTCTTGTATTGATGATTGAAGAGCTTCTGCCTCAGATAATTCTTAATTATTAACCACGTCTCTGTAGGGTAATAGGCAGGCATGTTGTCAAGGTACTGAGTTTTACTCAGTCTTAAGCGATTGCCACAAACGGGGTATGAAAGCACTTGTGACAAATTCCAATTTTTCTTGTGTTTAGCGTGGAAACGATGTCCCTCAGAAGTGCCAATAACCCTGGCGATATCAGTTCCAGCATGACTGAAAACAGCAAAGCTCGAGATTGCCTTATTCCCATGGGGTAAGTGTTCCCTCTCCCCGAAGCTGAAGGGTTTTCTGGATGGGCTCTCTCCTTGATGACCAAACTTTCCAATTGGAGCGTGGTGAGCTTGAAGCCATACGTGTCGACATCAGCTTTGGTTGCAGTAGAAGATTAATTGTGGGGGAAAGATCAGCGACGCTGATGAAAGGTTTCCTTGTCTTATGTCTTCAGCTCAATGACTTAATGAGGAAGGAAGGCTGATTTGAACCTTGATTTGATTGAGAATCTGCTTCTGCTGAGCAGTTCTAGGTTTAGAAGACAGCAGGAGGCTTTGAGACTGAAGGCAGTTTTTGCACCTTGTGTTGTCTTGGTAGAAGGCAACTGCAGCTCCATTAGATGTGTTGCTGGATTAATTCTGTGATGTTGTTTTCCCCAGAATAACCTCAGAAAATGTGGCAGAGAAGTTTGGAGTTTCCCGAAAGAAGCAAGATGCCTTTGCCTTGGCTTCCCAACAAAAGTAAATGCTTTTTAAAAATTTTTTTATTTTTTTTTTAACGGAATAAATGCAGATAGACAGTGCATTGCTGCTTCCCAGGAGTGGTTAAGTGCAGGCTTCGTGTTGCCTTCCAAACCTTAATACTGAGTAAAGAAGGTCGAGATGGTCAGAGCGGAGATCAGCGCGTGTCCCGGGTTGTGAGAGAAGGAAACCTGAGCCCGGAGCGGTGCTGGGCCCTGTGTGACTGGTCCCACACACGTACCTCCAGGCCGGTGAGCCTTGAGCAGCGAGTGCCCCTGTGATTTTTTTTTTTCAGCATCCAAAGGATACAACCTTTGTGAGGTTTCTGAGATGAAATCACAGAGTGATGTTTTCGTAGCAGCTTTGGCTCGGTATCGTTTGATATCGTTTGTGGGAGCGGCGGCAGAGGTTCCTTTCCTAAGAGGAAAGATTTAAGTGTAGCTGCTTCTAGAGAACTGCTCAGCTCGTGGGGAAAACGGCTTCTCTTTGCTGCAGGTGTTTGGCTCCAAGCAAGTCCAATCCTACTTCTAATAACCTTTCTCTTCGCTTAAATCACTGCCAAAGTCAGCTGACCCCTGGAATCCGTGGGGCTGTGCTGACAGTCCAGCGGTGATACGTTAAAGTTGCCGCCACCAAAGAGTTAAACTAACTTTCAGAGCTCTGTTCTAAGCGTCCTCCCGGTCCAATTATTTATCTAATACAGGAAGCCACTGCACAGGCCAGTTAACCTTTAAATTCTGGCCCCGCTTCTCAGGGAACTTGGCATGGCAGCCTTTCTCACTGACATTGAGCTGATAACGCCAAAGGGTATGTGAACGCGATCCTCGCCTCGCGCAGGAGGAAAGGGGTGATTTTCTGGCCTTGGTCTCAGGATGTGTGCAGAGTTACTGATCTGCCCTGCAGCATTTTGCTCTACCTCTCACTTACCTGGGAGTATTCAGTATGTTCATTTTATTAGTAGAAGTGTGAAGTGGCAAGAGGATAAAACAAGCTTTCAGTGTCCAGTTCATATTCCCTATAAAGGGAATATTCTTCCCTGCTGCTGGAAGGTAAATCTTCAAATTCAGCTCTACTATGGAGGCTTTTGAAATAAACTACGCTAAAACCTGAGCTAATTCTAATATAGCTAATTGTGTTCTGCCTATTTCTATCAGTCTGATCACATGTTGGTCCCTAATATTGCTGTCTCGGGGACCAGACCCTATCTTCGCCACACCTGTGCTGCTAAATTAAGGATTTCTATCGGTCTGATCACATCAGTTGGTCCCTAATATTGCTGTCTCGGGGACCAGACCCTATCTTCACCACACCTGTGCTGCTAAATTAAGGGATGCCCTTCTGCATAATCACACTGAACTATGCAACGTACATTTCAGTCATTTTGGCTTGAAAGGTTATGTTTAAAATGCTGGAAGATTGTACTTGAAGCCTGTGCTATAAAGCTCAACTTGTCTTACATAATCACACTGAACTATGCAACGTACGTTTCAGTCATTTTGGCTTGAAAGGTTACGTTTAAAATGCTGGAAGATTGTACCTGAAGCCTGTGCTATAAAGCTCAACTTGTCTTTAGTAGGACAAACCCAGGAATGAGTGAAATTTTAGCCATTCCTTGTCAGAAATCACTAGTGTATGTGGAAGCTTAGCCTACTTGACCTCTCAGAAATAAGAATTGTTGTCTGAAATAAGTATTCACCCATCTTCCCATCCACTACTCAGCGATGACGTACCTGCATACCAGGTCATAGCTTAGATCATTCTCTTGCTAACTGGTTTCCTCTGTGTTAGTTTTCTCACAGTTCACCTCCAGAATATTTTAACCTTTCCTACTCTTTTACAGGGCAGCAAAAGCTCAGCAGCTGGGACTGTTCAAAACTGAGATTGTTCCAGTGAAGACCACAGTTCTAGATAACCAGGGCAACCGAAAAACCATCACCGTGCACCAGGATGAAGGGATTAGGCCCTCCACGACCCTGGAAGGCTTGGCAAAGCTGAAGCCTGCCTTCAAAGAGGACGGTAGCACTACAGCAGGTCAGCTCTGCTGTTAAGTCAGTGTTGTTCCTGGGGTTTACCTGCCTTCTCGTAGAACGTGCTCCTGCAAAAAGAGCGTTAATAGATCTCTTCCAACAGGTAATGCCAGTCAGGTCAGCGATGGAGCAGCTGCTGTCCTCCTGGCCAAACGCTCAAAAGCAGCACAGCTGGGACTCCCAGTCCTGGGGGTGCTCAGGTCCTTCGCTGTGGTCGGAGTCCCGCCAGACGTTATGGGCATAGGACCAGCCTACGCGATCCCTGCAGCGCTGGAGAAGGCGGGTAAGCACCGCCCGTTGTTCGTACGGCGTTTGGCACGAGGCAAATCCGGCTCTCCGGGCTGAAATTCCAGGTTACGTTATTCTAGGCTGTGCAGCTGCCAGCTGTAGCAATAGCAAACCTAAATTCAAATCCTGCAAAGAGATCCTGGCTCAGATTATTGTGATACTTTTCACTTGGACTCATATATGAATTGTCATTTCACTTTTAAGAAGCTCAGGATTAAATCCCTGCAAACTTTCAGCAAACTGTTGACACGTGGCAAATGATTTAGTCTTCATGTAGTTCTGTTTTCATTAATATGCCCAGTTTGTGGGGGTAGGGACTTCGTGTTAGTTTTTTTGGTTTTTGTTTTTCTTTACAATTATGGCATCTGGCCAGTGAACAGGCTTCCCTCAGTCTTCTTATCGTACTCACTGGGTTAAATAGCTTTTATAGCTGATGTTTATTGTTGTGTCAGCCTGTCATTGCTGTGGTCGCAGGCTCTGCTGTGGTTTTATCTTTCAGTCATGAGATACCCTTCGATCTTGAATCCCTCTCTAAAGAAATCGTATTTAATCTAAGGAAACTTGGCAAACTCAGTTATACAGTACCATGAACTGTGACATTTGGTGGTCTTTAGACACTGTAACATAAACATACGTACAAGTGTAGCTACCCCACATGGAGCCGAGTTGCTCCTCTTCTTGTTGTTAGTGCAGTGGAACTAGAATTCGTAAGGGGAGGCTGTGAGCGATTTATTCTCTTTGATATAGTCATAAGGCAAAAACGTCTTTTAAATCCTGACTGTTCTGAACCGTAGGTCTGACTCTGAATGACATTGATATATATGAAATTAATGAAGCCTTTGCAAGCCAGGTGAGTGATCACCCTGTTAGAGTTGCTGCACTGCTTGGTAGTGCAGCTTGGTCTCCAAATGAAGATTTGAACTGGTTCCACATGTGACATCTTCAGCTAAATGTTAACGACATGTGCAAACTATTTCCCCTTTCCTTCAAATCAAAATAAGCAGGGCATTTCTTATACAGCCTAATACTAAAAAAACACCACAAAACAAACCAGAAGATTCCATCCACTGAATAAAAAGGAGTCTTTACTACCATATCCGCATACCAACTTGCAAAATCTGTTTCACAAGGGCTGTAACTTATTACTGAGGAGCATCAGTGTGCAGATTGCTAATTTGGAGGTTCTTAATCAAAGGCAGAAACTTCACTACAGTGTTTTCCACAAACCCATGACATGCTTGTAAGAAAGCACAAGGGCTCAGTTTGAGACGAAGCTTCTCTGTGCTTTGGATTTGTAATGCAGTTCACTTGTTTCCACTGGGAATGATGGTCTGGCTGAGGCCAGGCCTTCAGGTACTGTTGAACGCAGAGCAGCTGACACAATGGGGAGCTAAATTCATTATATCCATGAATCTGTTCCCGAGGGTGGTTTGCTCTCCCTCTTTCTGTGTGGACGAGATCACCCATCTTCTCAAAGCTCTCCTTTGCAAGAGAGCTGAGAATTTAACGGAGGTGAGAGCAGCTCCGTGAAACCATTCCCTCTCTCTTCCCAGGCCGTGTACTGTGTTGAAAAGCTCGAAAAAAAAGGGGGGAGCGATAGCACTGGGGCACCCACTGGGCTGTACCGGTGCTCGTCAAGTTGTCACTTTGCTCAATGAATTGAAGCGCAGAGGGAAGAGGTAGGTACTGAGGAGGAGCATTAGCCTTAAGGCCTTACATCTACGTAAGTAATGTAGGCTCAGAAGTAACCATCCGTTTGGGTTAAGCTTTCTCCATCCCTCCGATAGCTTTGGAAATGAATTCCCGATTCGGGTGGTGTCAGAGCAGCACGTCAGCACTCAGAGCTGGCAGCTCCGTAAGGCTGGGCTGTGTCAGGCTTTGTGAAGTGTGGTCCCAGGATCTTCTTGACGTGTGGAAGAAAGCCGGTAGCGGCTGCTGGCTGGCTCTGTCACTGCTCCCTTTGGGACAACACCTCAGGCTGGGCTGTCCCCTGCCCTAGAGGGCAGACTGACAGTGATGGCAAGCCATCCAGTAAGAATGATAAACCACCTCAAACCAGGTGGAATAACTTGCCCTGAAATCAGGCTTTCCACTCTATTTTTCCACAAATCCTCCTGCACATCTCTCCAAATTGACCTTGAATTTTTGTGTAGCAAAGCCACGTGAAGGGCAGTGCTAGGAGGTGGGAAAGAAAGAGTTTCTTCCTCAACCCAACTGAGTCAAAGCAGTTCTTCGATCTTGACCTTGTTGCCGGTAAGCCTGAGGCAGATGGCTGAGGAGCTTGCTTCTGGCACCAGAAAACAGGCAGAGAAACATGTCCATGTGCTCTGCAAACAACACCCTGGACCCACGCCAGAGTTAGAATCTCTTGGTGGCACAGGAGAGCAGCAGGGTGTAGCTCAAATTTATTCTGTTCTTTTCTCCTCCCATGGTTTAAACCTGATCTTAATTCCACACGTTTTCTCCTTTCAGAGCGTACGGAGTGGTATCCATGTGCATTGGAACAGGCATGGGCGCTGCAGCAGTGTTCGAGTACCCAGGGAACTAAACTCTGGCGTCCTGATGCAACAGCTAATTCTCTGCCTTCTGCAGTAACTGCAAATGATTTGCACTGTGAAATCAAGTGGATTCAGGGATTTGTTACTGGATCCACAAATTTTAGGCACAAGTGGCAAAGTAGGGGAAAAAAAAAGAATCATACACGTCTGGTGAGCAGGTGGGAAAATGCGAAACTGGTATTTGCGTCAGAGTTAAAAAGCATCCTGACATGAGAAATGAGTTCAGCTGAAGTTCAACTACAGGCCCTTGTGCGGTGATTATGAATGAATATTCCTAATTTAATCAATCCCTTTATTCTTTGAACACTATCAGAGAGAAGTAGTTCATGGTACGGCATGTTCGTAAGACAGATTGTCTAAAAGGGTCGCTCCAAACAAAAACATCAGGGTGCATGAAAAGGCTTTTCCAGGGTTTTCTTGAAAGATTTAATCTTGTGAGAAGCCTGGAACAGCTTGTTTTGAAAGCAGTGCAAAGACTCAACACCATTTCCTTTACAACTGTGTCCATCCACATCACAGGCTGGGGATGTCTTAAATTGTCCCTGTGCTGGAGGATGTGCTGTAGGTTTCTATTTCTAACCAAGCTGCTCTCAAGCCTCCAGAGGGGGAAGGCAAGAGGATGAGAATATAATTTACACAGAGTAGAATAGAAAGGTTCTGCTGAATTGCTGAATGCCAGGAATTTGAAAGAAAATGACATCTTTCACAATTAATTTCTAATTATCGGCTTGTGTGACTCTAATATTGACAAGCTTATGCTTAATAATATTTACTTACCTAACAGAAAATGGATTTCAGCATTAGTCTTAACTGCAAGCACTACATGAACATCAGCGGCACCTCAGTACTTCAGTGCTAGTACAGATGTGTATTTCATCTTGAAAAGTTCTCCCTTCTTTGTTTTCCGTCTTCTGAGCAGAAATGGCACTGAAACTCCGGGCTGATAACTTGAAAAAGAAAGTTACTCATTGTCTTGGACACATTCAGAAAGTTTAAATTTGTAACACGGACTGAAGTTCATCCTAGCTCTTGTTTTTGCACTTAATACTATTGGTTTCTTGCAATATGTTTCTTTTCCTTCTGTGACTGGTAGTTGAAGGTCATGACTAGTTAGAGCTGTCTGATATTCTCACATTCCTGCGCTGCAGCCGTCTCGCCCAGCAGCCACGCGTGCTGTATTATAGAGCAAAAAGATGAAATTATTTAAAAGGAGCAGAGAGGCATCAGCAGGTTCCTGTGTGTGAAACGAGTTCTCAGTGCTGGTTCATATTTAATCTGGGCAGAAGGCAGCCCTCGTGCATCTTTTGTTTTCCTGCAGTGCGGGTCGCAGCCCCCTCCTCCCCACGCACACTGCCTTGAACACAAACCTTTTATGACGGGAATGGAAAACTTTACAAACTCAGAAATGAGAATTTCACTGACCTTTAGCTAAAGTGATACTAAAAATATTTGAAGAGAAGTTTGAGTAAATGGGAACCATGTGAGGAAAAAGAATTGAAAGGAAGAAAGGTTCCTCCCTCACTAGCTGAGGGGGGTGTTCTCAGCACCCAGGCAGGGTGAAACAGGCAGGTTTGGTAATTTTCCAAGGAGTCCAGGGAAAGGTGGCTTCTCCCTTTTTCGTGTCAGGCACTGAGAGAACAGCCCAGGGAATGCTGGCCTGTTCGCTAATTCTTGCTATAATCATGTGTAAATGTCCATTTTAATGTCAGACAAATAAACAAAGCAAAACAAAAGCTGCTTTTTAAGATACGAACGGACTTTATTTGTAGTTTGAGGCATACTGTGATAGGCAAAGGGTTTGGGCCTGTTACCAGAAAGCTGCTTTGCAGTTTAAAATGGATTATTTTGCAGACCCTAGTTCTGGGGGTAAGGGTAAGCTTATCACAGCAATAAAAGTAACAGCACGGAATAAGATTATGACCATTTTCTTTAAAGCACCGTGAGCTGTTTTTCTCCTCACTTAGAATTTCATTCTGGTTAAATTCCAGTCTCTATTAAAACAACTGAAGTAGCCAAAAATACAGGCTTAACTGATGGCACATCTGCATCCAGCCCGTTGCCTTGACATTTGTCCCACATTGTCTTGCTTAGATCAAATACAGGTCTTCGTGCTTTCCATCAGTGTCCCTTGTCCCCTGACCCGGAGCTTGCAAGGCTTCTCTCCCAGCATTCCCATAACGGTCACAGTAGCTTCGTATTCAGTGTCGCTCCTACAATGCAGAGCACAAGGGCAGTTCACTTAGAGCCAAGTGCAGGTCTGTGTTTAAGGATAAGGTTAGCTGGGGCAGGGAAAAAAGGGAGAATGGTGTCCTAAGCCATAAACTGCTCCTAGTCACAAGTTGACACTAATGTTTAATCTCACTTCATGGTGTCCTGGCCCATGGCTGCATACAGGGTATTTAAAAGGATGGTCTGGGCTGTACCTGAAGCGAAGGTGTTGGATTATTATCTTCACGTTTGAAAAAAGAACCTGAGTATCTTCCTACTTGTGAAATTCTGTTCTGGTTAAATAAATAAGCTCTGCTGGGTGATGGTGTTGGGGAGCAAATGCTGGCACTGCCTCGATGGGGAAAGCCATCCCTGTGACAAAGTTTGAAATGGGAAAGTTTCTGTCAACTCCCCTAAGACAAGGGGCAGTCAGCGGGGTCCAGATTGTAAATGAACATCAAAAAGCTTACACCAAGGGTAGTTTTGCACTAAGTAGCAGCCTTGCAGCGTAGTTTGCCCAAGGCTAATGCTGTGCAATGCTTCTGAGACTGCTCATCTGAAGGACTTCTCTGCGTCCAGGAGACACTGCTGTAAAGGCCTGAGGCAAGACAACTGTTCTGCGAGACAGCTCTTTATTTTTTTCCTTCTCAGACAGCATTCCCCTGCAGGAAGACTGCTGAGTTAGAGAGGTGAATTATTAATATCACCTCACACCTTGCATGTAATTATTTACTAATGACATGCTAGTCCTGAGCCCTGCCTGTGTTGGGAGTTCTTCATCTGGAGCTGAACATTGGAGTTGGCTGCCACACAGCAACAGCTTTGCTTTTTTGCTATTTCCAGGCGCTTCCAGTTGTGCTGCTCAGGGTAGCTGTTAGATGAAAAGAAGCGCTTCAGGTGTATTCCAGATTCAGATATCTAGAAAAATGTCAGTCAGGAGCCTGGGGAGGTCTCTGGTCCTTCACGCTGGTCAGAGCAGGGAGAGCTCAGAGCAGCTTTGCCCCACTGAGATTTCAGTAGCTCCAGCGAGGGACACCTCATGGTGTGTCCCAGAGAGATCAGCGTTACGACAGCAACTCACGTCACCTGTATTTTGCTCCTTGACACTGCCCTGTCAGTAGTGTTCAGAGTTCACTGGAATTACTGGCATAAACTTGTCGGTCTTAAGCTTTCTGCTGTCATCAGGCAACTTTCAAGAAAGTAATTTGTAATGCAACCTGGTTTTTCTCAGAGGAGTTGCATCTCCCTAATTAAAGCAAAGAAATTAAAGGCTTTGGGTCCCTATCTCCGCTCTTCACAACTAAATCCTAGCCTTGGCAAAGGTTATGATAAGAGGTCCGTAAACATAATTAGAACAATATTAGATGGTATAGGACAAGGTAATTTTCATCTGCTCTCTGCTGTCGTTTGCCTGCAGCTCGCATTATCTTTGTTGTGTAGAAAACCTTTGGACTAGAAGCAACAGAATATGTTGAATTTTTTTTTTCCTTTCTCATCAAACATCAGCTTATCTGTAATGCTAAACATTGCACCAGAGTAAGCAAGGGTAAAACAACTTGTAGCACTGTATTAGAACAACATTTTGCTCTATTTGCTTCACCAGGAGGTGTTCTGAATTCATGTAGGGAGGTAAGTTTCTTTTAGGGAGAAGCCACATAAACGCTCATGAAGGATCCCCGAGACTGACTGCAAAAGACATTGCACTTCCCCCCATGACAAACAGAAGCTTTACGGGAATTCTGAACTACTCCAGACACGTTTCTCTCAGTCCTAAGTGCTGGATGCATCAAGGACTCAGTTCATATCAGCTTCTGCACTGAATTCCAGGCCTGAGATTTAGCCTCTGTTGAAGACATTGCCCTCAAGAAAGGGATTTTACCCAATAGCTCACAGACAGTGTGCCCTGCCAGCTGCTGCAACAGTGTGATTTTGAGCTAAAATCAGGTGCCGAATCCAAAAGAAATCCCATATGTGGGAAGAGTGTGGGTTATATGGCAAAGTACCAGCTGGAAGCGCAGGCTGGGCAAGTGTCAGAGGCAAGATGAGCAGCCTGAGAACACGAGAATGCGAGAGCAGAGCAGAATTGCTCTTGGCTTTCAGTGACTATGCACCCCGTGCGTCTGGGTTTGAGGGGGAGCGACCGCAAGATTTCCGTCCCGCGAACTGTACCTCGCGGTAAAGCTGATCTGCAGAATCTCTCTGGTGGGTGCGTCCCCTTCACGTGCCTCCAAAACGCCGCTAGTAGGGGAGACAGAAAATACTTCCAGGTCGCTCTGCCCTTCCTGTTCATCTGCAGCAAAAGGGACAAACATCAAACAAAGACAATACAAGACCCTTTGCTTAAGTCTGTGCAGCACATAGCGCTCAAAGCAACGTGCTCCTCAGTAGCCAACGGATAAAACACATCAGGGGCTCTCCCTGCATGTGGCCAGTTTCTGTTTTCATCCCCTATTCAAGGGGAGTGATCAGTGACCTCCACATCGAAGTCACAAGGCCCCGATCTTCCCTTTGTAGCCCATCTGTTGTCAACACCATTAGGCACAAGCTCAAACCAAATTTATGAGGAGTGACTGTTTCTTGTTGCCTCTTAGGATTGCCTTATGAATGAGCAAAGCACATCCTTTCCTTGTGAGGGTTGGGATTCAATTTGTTGGTTAAATCTGCAGTAATTGCTGAAATTAGTAGAGAGAAATTAGTGGAGATACACTGATGTAGAAAAATAAAAAAATAAAAAAGACAAAGCCCACATAATTGAGAAGCAGACCTTATATGTTTGCAGCCA